CATCTCCATCAATGAACGTAATCACTGTTTTGTATGTGCTGTAGTGTCGCGAATTTCAGAGCAAGTGACTAAATTGTACTTATTTACAGTTACACCATGACTTATTACGTTCTCATAGATTGTAACGAAATTTTTCAATAAAAATGTTTAACTTGTGTAAGTGGTAACCAAATCTGTCACTTTTACCGCCTGCCAGACCTAACAATTGACACTTTATTTTTTAAACATTGATTATCATTGCTAACTTCGTCTCGTTTTGAAACACAAGACTCGCTAACATTTCCATTATGTTCACCAACGTTTTCATTGTCACTCTTTATTTATTTTTCTATTTTTTTCCTTGATTTGTTTTGGACTGTCAAACTTAAATGAAGACTACTTTTTCTGATCCCTGCACAACAAGAAAATAAAAACTCCGACATCTTGTTTTTCATACGAACACACCATACTGACTATTCAGTTAACTTAATAGCCTAAGGAGCACAATTGATTAAGTTTGAATTTCGGTGTGGATTGTTAGAAAGTTGTCAACAATGTCAGTGAAAAAAAAGGGCATCCACGGTCCGTACATAGATGTGTCTGCTTCTGGCAATGTTGAGCTCAAATTATTTTGTTAGGAAAGCAGATTGCATTGTTACCCCCTTGCAGGATACTGTAAATTCAGAGAATATCTTACCACTATTGCGAGTGTCGATGTAGGTACATTTACTATGTATTTATTTCTTGAAAGAAAAAAACGTGTAATTCCCCGGGATGCAGAGTTTAGGAGTTACTTTGTCAGAAGAGAATCCACCTATCATCTTTTTTAAAGTACACCAGTTTAAAGTTTAAACTATAGTAGCATTGGAAATACACAGTATCACCTGTCGCCAATAATACTTAAAATAGCTATTTATATTTTTTGTTCACGGATAAAATTGTATTGTAAGTTTTTTTGTGTATTTGTAAGAATGTTTTGTAAATGGATTTCAGGTGTTTTCATGAACATAGAAAATCATTAGAACGCCCACAACTTTTTTCCATTAGTTGCTTTTTAGATACTTTGCAAGAACGTTTTAAGAAGTTTTTATACATATACAGTTTTCGTTCGCCACAATAAAATATCGTATAAGCTACGATTTTCGAAAAACTGACTTTGAAAAAAAAAAGTGTTTGTCTTCAGAAGAAATGTTCGTAGTTATCTTTCTTATTATCCATAAAGTCATGACATGATCGTACAGAAACTGTCGTGTTTTAGAGGTGATTTTTTAAAACTGAGAAAATCCGCTAGGTGAATTTTTTCACGTAAATTTAGAGTTTAATCTTTTGTTTTGTAAAACGTGATGAAATTCCCAAAATGTTTTGGTGATGATAACGTATTCCCAAATCAAGGCTGCTTCTGCTCAGGAAAATTTCATTTAGATCTTCACGCGTAATATAAAGGACAATAAATATTCTTACGAGTTTCGTTGGCTAAAGTCTGGTCACTCATATTTAAATCTATCAATCACTCTAGTAATCTAAGAGAATTACTGAACGATCTAAACCAGTGAAAGAGGTTACAGCTTTCCTGCTGTTTTTGATTGGATGTAAAGTTTATGGAAGCCTTATTTTCGTCAAGAACCCCATCATGATTGTATCCATCACAGACTTCCAACCTTGCTTTTGCAACTGACACTCGGGTAAATATGACTTTCGGACATTCTACCCGGGCAGTAAATTGCGATTAGTTTAGCGCTGAAAAATCAGGTCTTCTATGGGTAAATTTATAGGTAAAGGGCAATGGACTTTCACCTAAATCTTGACACAAACGGGGAAAGAACTCATAATCTATTGTTTGAAATCTCAGATACTAATTATCATTAAAATGCAACTTTAAAGCTTTTTATCGTGATGACCAAAATGACCACTAGTTTCTGTACGACTGACTCTCGATTATAGGGTTAAAAAGCAAAGTGCATTAGAAATAAAATCATTTGATTATTTTCGGGAAGTACATAGTATCTTATTACTTAGTGTATGCTTATAAATCGATACCAAGTTGGCCTCAGAGTTTATATGCAAGGTTAAACTTACTGCAGTGCCAATTTCACTTCATTTAACAGTAGCTTCTATCTTTTGATGAGCGTACTGATTTTTATTCTGACTGTTATTGGCCGTAGTTAAGATATTCAAATCATTTTAGCGGCAATTGCGTCACATCACGTGGCACGCGTTGCAGGTACGCTCGACTTTATTGATGCATAAGCATTTGCGTTTTTACTCAATCGGACTTTTTTCTACACTTGATAAAATTGTGTTATGCAAGTATTAGGACATGACTATATTTGCCTATATCCAGTTAAATTAAACGCATTTCACTACAGGATGCACCGTGCTACAAAACGACGTTAATCTGAAATTCACACGTGGTTAAAATTAATAACTTGGTACAAATGTCTGCTTAGGAATATGGCCAGTACACTAAACAAGTCATTAATTCCTTTGTCACAGACGTCTGGCATATTGAATATATGCAGAAATGTGATAGAAAAGTTTGTTTTCCCTTCTTTCATAATGATATTGATCTCCTGATGTGTGTTTGGCAAAGCCCAATGAAAAGTACTGACAAAGCTTGAACTTCAATATAGTTTCAAGAAAAGCCGGTACTCTACTCAGAATTATTTTTATTCTAGTCACATACAGTTGTCAGATTTGCCTTGTGTTCAATTACTGATAAGATGATGGGGAATCTGAAAATATTAAACCAACACGTACAATTTTTGTTTATTGATTAATTAAATGTACTCTTTGTTTCAAAGCAAAACAAGTATCCCCAATCCCCGTTTCATTTTGGTCAAGTCTGACTTAATCAGAGTTTGGATACACTTTCTTTATTTTTTATAAATACCAAGATGTTTTTTAAGCTACAAACTTTTTTCATAAAAGTTAAAACACTAAATGATAGCTAGAATATTTCTTGATGGGTTAATCTTCCACAGATAATACGTTTGGAAGCTCTGAATAAGAAGTTGACATCTGCTGTAGCCATTCAAGCTTTACAAAGTCCAAGCAGCCCAACCAGTAGTCTTTCGAAAGACAGTTCTTTGACTAACCTGAGCTGCTTATTAGAACTAGCCATGAGTCGAAGCAACAGCTTCTGTGATGAATCACTATGTGAACTTCTTCAACTTGGAGTAGATCAAGGTCAACTAACAACCAAAGATCTGCTAAATAAAAACACCAAAGTGAATGGTGAGGGTAGCTAACTGTTAAATAGTCATTCTCCTGATCCAAAAAGGTATACTCATCAATACAAATGCTTCATATACATCTAAACAGTAGAACATATATATATTTCCTAAGCTAAGTAAATTTCCCTTTTTTTTGAACTTTTTCTTGAAACATTGATAAAGAGTAATATTTGTTGTAGCTTTATTAAATTTAGACTTTGCATATGTTTTTAAAGATATAAATAATATATGTGTGTGTTTGGTGTTATAACGTCAATTTATGTTCAATCCTGGGTTATGCATCGAAATGAATACATAAAGCATTGTCCCAATCAAGGCTTAGTTAGAAAACACAGTTTCACAGATTGTTTGGTACTAGTTGCTTTTGTGTTTCACGTGGTTGTGTAGTTGCTCCGTCCATGTATTTAGTTTGTTTGATAAATGCAGTTTGCTGCTCGGTGTTACAGTGTGATACAAATGCCAACAAAACAAAAATTGTCTGTGGTTATAGTTAACAGATTTTTGTTCTTTTATAGATTTCTCAAGTATTCAGGTTGCTGGTGACCTGGATCTTGATATTGTTATTATATAATTCAAAACTTTAGGTAGTAAATATTGAAGTCCTTATAATAGTCTGTCCTGTACATGTAGGGTGCTAGATAGATACTGTAGCTGTCATGGAGAGTGACTATACCAATAGTTAGATGTCAATATTGTTCAATAATCAGAAAGCCATTAAGATTGTTCTACCAACTAGGGTGAACCCTGTATATTATATATTGTGGTAGTTTAAGATCATCGTACAAGATGATAAATAACTCTCACTAGTTGATTAAAAAAAAAAAAATACACAAATTATTCATAGCTTTGATGAAATATTCTTCTAATTTTTATTGACATTCCATACATACTTATTTAATTTCTTACTAGAAAAAAGCAGAAAACAATTTCCAATGAACATCTTATTAATTGTACATCTTAGAAAATGGCTTTAACTGCAGTGTTTAAAAATGCATAGGAAACCTTATTTGCTTGCATAATTTAAAGCTACCTTGATTCAAAGCTGTTCAATAATCTCTAAAGCATATAAATCAATGTCTTAAAATAAACCTGTAATCACACAGACTACAACTGTATTGTCTCCTAAATACCAGGCATGAAAATTTAAGGTTAACAGTATGAATGTATTTTTCAAACAAATTTTTATATATCTAGTTTGGCTCTATGTTTCACATATATAAATATTTGGTTTTGTCAATGTAACCTATACTTTAAAACCATTATTGCTACAATAGTTTTAAAGTTTAGATTAACAACCTAGAAGTTCTCGGAGCTCTCTACATTGACTGCAGTAATTCATGTAAAAAGTTTAAATAGCCACCATTCTATTTACTCATTTTATAGCGTAAAAACTAAAGGTTCCTTTCAAGATGTTTAAATTTTTAACTGAATGATGTAAAAGTTCATGGAGAATTTATATTCATTCACAACCATTTTAAAATACCAAAAAATGGTAGTTGTATTTTTCCCTCGTGTCCTCTGAAGTACAGATTCCTACTGCCAAAAACTTAGGTTAGGTAAGAAAAAAAACAAATGTGAATCACTTTTACTCTACCTAATTTATTTGGACTTCCTGCTGTTAGTTATATATGTTGTTTCAATCTGGAAAAATATTAGTTATATATGTTGTTTCAATCTGGAAAAATATTAGTTATATATGTTGTTTCAATCTGGAAAAATACTAGTTATATATGTTGTTTCAATCTGGAAAAAATACTCTTTGTTTTGGAATTGTAAACATTTTTTGTTTTTAATTGAAAAAAATATAATACATTGTTGTACAGTGAATTTCTTTAATTTTGTTATTACTCAGAAGCTTTGAAAATAAAGTACTATTTACCAAAGCTTATAGCCTTTTGCCACTGATGGAAATATTAACATTAGTTGTTTTGGATACTCACTAGTCAGGCTATTACTTGAGTTTACCTGTACAGATTGCAGTTTAATTTTGGACTTATCCATACTTACCTGAATATTCACAAATTATCATTTTCTTTCATCGCCAAAAAAATTACAGTAATCACATTATATAAAACAAAATCTCTCTATGTGTAATTTCTGGCTATAGTTAAATAAGTTGGTTGTTCTCTGGCTATAATTCAGCCAAACTGATTGACAAAAATCTTATATAATTTCCATTTTGTAAGAAAGACAAAAAGGATTAGGTAATAGCAGCACATAACAGTATCATTAAAGTTGTATATAGTTAACTGCATAGGTAACAAAGATATCAAAATTAAAGACCAGGTTCAACATTTGCCAAGTATATAATTTTATTTTAAAAGGATGACATTTCGAGCTAGAGCTCTTCATCACATTGTACAACTTACAACCAAAGTGTACAATCTGACAAAGAGTGCTAGCTAAAAACACCATCCTCTTAAAATAAAAATATAAAAAAAAACTTGGCAATCGGTTAACCTATTCGTTAATTTCAGTAACATCACAGTGAACCAACAAAGAAAATCGTTTACTAAGCAAGCATAGGTAATTTTTATTAGTTCTCCAACTTAACGTTTCCTCCCAGTATTAAAATTAAACTATATGGTGAAAACTAAGTACAATAATATACCTCTCAAAAGGTAAAACAAAAAGATTATAATGTAAAGTTATAGTAAAGTTACTTATTAATACTATGACAAAAAGACATAATGAAGAAAATTACTGTATTCTCTCCTTCCAACACCCACAATGACAACTAGATGCATTAATGTCTTTTGTAACACTAAAGCGACAAAACTGAAATAATGTAATTGTCTCATTTCAATAGTAAAAACTTAAACTGTACAGTAAAACTTTTTGTTCATTGTTTTGTCTCCTGCCAATTATAAAACAAAGGAAGAAAACGTGTGAAAAAAATATAATTTCCTGCCATTATTAGAAAAAAAAAACCAACTCTATAAGAAAAGCTGAAGTACAATAAGGTTTCCTGCCAGTAGTAAACAAAAACCTTTGTTATGAAAACCAAATGGAGTAACATCTCCTGCCAATAGTAAACAAAAACACTGTACAGTAGTTTAAAAGTAAGCACAGTGATGTATTTTGCCAATGATGTAATGAAAAATCTGAATAGCGAAACTAAGTATTGCAATATTTCCTGCCAGTAGTAAAATAAATAAGAAACTTATGTTAAAAACAAAATGTAGACTATATAATAAAAAGTGTGATATCTCTAGCTAATAGGGAAAAATAGAAGAGAAAAGTACAGAAATCATGACTTTTATTTTAGTTGTTAGACTTACTGAGCACTTAATACCAATCTCATTATTCACACTCTTTTTATAAGTCTCTACAACTGTGAATTGTCAGCACATATAACTATATATACACCTGGAAAAAAGTTAAGCACCCCGAAATATTTTTCAGGATTGCTTATTGAAAATAAGGTTTAATTTTCATGATGTTGAGCAATGTTCATAATTTCAAACATAATTAAAAGGATGTG